ATTTATTTGTATTGTTAGCTGCCCGGAGTCCTACGGGATTGGGCGGCATATAAAAGTTATTAAACTTTAAACTTTTTTTTAAAAAAATGAACTTCTGGCTGCCTGTCTCCCAAGGCAGGGGCATACGATATGACAACAATTAATAACTCTATTTGAAAGAGTCATATAGCTACAGCAAGTTAAACCTCTTCTGGGGCAAGCTTAACTGATGTATCCTGAATATTATTTAATAATTGTATTATTTTTGTTATTGTTAACTATGTTTATACTTATTTTAAATAGTTTCTAATGGAAACAATGAAATAAGAAGGGGGCATTGTCCTTGACTACTAAATGCCCTCAAAAGTTAGTCCAGCAGTTTCCCCACTCAAAAAACCCCATCTGGAGCACATTATAAAAGTATTAGTGGAGCAGAACAGAAAAAAATATCTGCCATCTGAAGAAATCTATTTGCATAACACTCACTTTTACTCTATAGTAGTAGATTCTGTGGTTCTATAAAGTGGTCTACCTTGGCCCTTTACTTACGTTGGCTCAAAAGTTCCTGAACACCACCAAACTTCTTCTTAAAAATAGCAGCTATGCCAGCACTCATATGACAATCCTCACTAATACAGTGAGCCAAGGAATCTGTTTCTGGACAAGTAAAAAGATCTCCCTGCACATATTTAATCTGGGTAAAAATGAAAGAGAAGATTCAATATATGAGATAAAATTCCAGAACTGCAAAATTTAAGACAATATATAAAGATAATATCAGTTAAGCTGCTGACTGCTACACATAAGATATTTTAATATGTATTTACTAAATTTCTGACCATATAAAATATGACTTCTTTTGAGATATGCCCAAAATAAAATAATGAAATAGAATGTATTTCCAGGAAAAATATGTATTACACCTTCAGTAACATATGCTGCCAGCATCCATAAATTGAGCTTAACTCCTGGTGATTTCATTTAGTTTTCTGGGCAACAGTACTACACTCACTTGCCACTGCTACCTTCATTTTCTTGATTTCGTACAATAATAAGTTCAATGTTGTTTTCTCTAATATCCAAAGGATCGCTTTTCCTGGTATATATCCACATAAATATTAATGTCCCTTTTCTCCTTTTGCAGCTGTACATTGTGCAAAGAAACAGGAGAGACTCTTCTAAAGTCTAACATCTAGATTCAGGATCCTCCCCTTTGTGGAGATTTGATACTTATTTTATTTATTTATTTTGTCAGGTATGCATTAGATAACAGATATATAGACATGAAACATGAAATGAATACGAATACAAGGGAATATTAGGACACGGACGATAGGCACTCTGGTGCGCTTATGCATGCCCCTTAAAGACCTCTTAGGAATGGGGTGAGGTTAACAGCAGACAGTCTAAGGTTAAGGTTTGGGGGGGGTTGGGGAAGAAACCACAGTATCAGGTAGTGTTACTAGTATCAGGTAGTGATACAATACCAAATTGGTTTACAGATTAACAGAATTGGAAGGGACCTTATAGGTCATCTAGTCCAACCCCCCACAGGGGGGAGGACCCTACACCATTTCTGATTAATGGCAGCCCAATCTCTTCTTGAAAGTGTCAAGGAATGAACTCTTACAACTTCCAAAGACAAGCTGTTCCACTGGCTTTATTTTAATGTCGACTTATCTGGCTGATCATCCGTTGACAACTCTATACATTTTGGATTACTGACTTGTTTTCTTTTAATTTCTTCAACGGCCTTATTTTTAAATTTGTATTAGGAAAGCTAAAATTTTAAATTTTTGTTCCAAATCATGATCATAATTCTCTTCAAAAGGAACTTCCACTGAATTAAGCAATCATTTTCTTAAAGGCTTCAGTGGAATCATTACACTGACTACTGTCAACTATAGTTAAAACAGGCACAACTGGTTAGCTTATTTTAGAAACAAATTTCTACAGTTGCTGAGTATTTGTGGACTCTGAATTGCACTTGGGGAATTTATAAAATGGAGAATTATGCCACCATTACTTTATAGAGTGCCACTGAATTTTTTTACTATACTTTTCTAAATAGCAGAATCTGGTGTGTTTCCACTAAGAAAGCTTACATCTATGAAAACATATCAGGAAAATCATAATTATAAATCTTTAAGGAGGTAATTATTTTATCTCATGCTACTGAGATCTAAGGCTTCATGCTATATAAAAATAGATTTTGAAATATTGGGAAACTTCTTATGTAGAGTCATGCTGCAATCTATTCTGGAATTCTTATACTGTAATGTAAAATCAACTTAAGTATTCCATGCTAATAATCAACAAATCATTTATGCTCTAAACATAAGGATGGTAGAAAATGTCTATTCTTTCCAAAGGTACATGTCTCTTACTGCAGACGTTTAGGACAATTTCTGTCTTAATGACCTGTGGTACTGGATTAAAGGCATGTTACCTGTGATTAACAATTAACAATTCTTAAACCTTCATTTTCTGTATCAATACTATAAAATTGTCATACCAAAATTTCAATAGGTCCAATGAACTATATGCAAGTTCCAATTACTTTCAAGTAAATATACATGATTTAAATTGGGTTAGTTTAATGGTTTGTTTTATAATATAATCAATAACACTGCAGAAGGTAAAAACGCAAGCGAGCTTCACCTTGATTTCACCTTGTATAATTATTTCCTCTTTGCAACCTGCAAAGGGGAAATTATTTGGGAGAGTTTTTGTCCTTAGATGAATGTAGCCATTTTGTTAAAAGGAAAATTTAGTATATTAGCCATTCTAAGTGCATCAATCACAAAATTATTCTTCAAATTCCAAATACATTACTATAATGCTTGTTCTCATTTATAAACTTTATTGGTATAGAGTAACTTTGAAATTTTTAGCAGAATAGGAAGAGCTACTGATTCATATTACACTTCATAGCTTTCTAACTACTGCTTTGGCATCCCAAAGGTGCTTTTTTTCAAGAGGCAAAAAATAGCACCTTTGGGACAACCATGATCTGGATGACTGAGAATCTCCACAGACATACTACCTTGGGAAATTGCCAAATGATATGGGATCAACTTTTTATGAATCTATTAAAAGGGAAGAAAACAAGGAGTCAGCCATTATATCTGGGTACTTCTCTTTCAGCTGCAAGTATTTTTTTTTACTACGTTTTTACACTTGAGTGATCAGCCTTTCTAAGAAAGAGGTGGCTGGGTGAGAAAAAGGCAGAACTACCAACAACATTGATTTAGAATTGCAGAATTAAAGGATGGATAACATATAGAAAGTAGTTCTGAAAATTGATTGTATTATAACCTATTTGGCAGAAATATATTGCGAGCACATTAAGATGAAGTGAATCCTATGGACAAAAGAATTCCAAGTTTTACAAATATGATTTAGGATTATTATTTTTTCCTGCACAAACCAAAGCCCAAAATCAATCCTCCGTAGCCAGATGGTTTTTTTTAAAGAGACCAGCTATTTTTTGTTGACAAATAAAACGATTTTTAGAATTTAAAAATGAATTGCAATAAATTTATTTTTTAAAAGTCCACTACAAACCCTTTCTTCATTTCCAGAAATCCGGGTACTAGCCATAACTGGGTGGGTCACAGGTTTTTTTTTCAGCTACAGGACTAGAAAATAATGATTTTCATATTCATGGCAGGAAAAGCAAAGAGAAATGACATATATTATATATATTAATATATGTAATATATAGAATTGCTATAAATCCAAACTATCAAGTACTAATTAGGGCACTACTTGCATAGCGATAACCTCCCCACCCCCACCCCCCAAAAAATATTTCCGAGACTTTTAGGACATTCTTAGCCTTCTCATGTGAAAAGTCCTACACAGGGCCACAAAAACAGAGGCAACCTCGAACCAAAGAACCCAAAGGGCGGGCGGCTGCCCCTCGAGGCGCCTCGAAAGCATGACGTCTTTTTCCTTAGCCCGCCCACGAACTCTATAAGCCAGCAATGGCGAAAGAAAGAGAAAGGAAAAAAAAGAACCACACCGGCCACCAGCCTACATATACAACGGCAGCAACCAATTTCACCTCCCACTAAGTTCTATGTTCTGTTATGGCAACCGTCTTTGGGAGCCCCTTAAACAAAACACGCAAAATGTCAGCCTTCGCGTGGGCCTCCCTAGGAGGAGGACTCTATGGCATCGGCCGAGAGCATGCGTTGTAGAAAAAAGGGGATCGCTGAAGTGTCATTGAAAAAAAAGCTTCTGGAAAAAAAATTGTCCCGCACATGCGTAGAAAAGCCATCTCGAGAATGGAAGAGTTGAAAGGGAACTGAAACGGTCCAAACGCACCCGTCAGTTCGAAAGAAGCCAACGCATGCGTGCAATTTTAAACCAGCGCAAGCATCCGCGGGAGGAACTTTTCTACCGCGCCTGCGCGAGGGCACCCTCGTCTTCTCTTTGTTGGGCTTCGGGGGTTGGGCGCCATTTTGCGCGGCGGCTGAGTGGAGGCGCTGATTGGGTTTCGGGGACCGGTGGCGGAGCCAATCAGAGCGGGACCCGAACCGGGGGAGCAAGGCACGGTGAGTTCGAGCAGCCAATATGGAGCCCCCGAGCGCCGGCCCAAGAGCCGGGATTGGCGGGGCCGAGTGGCCAGTCAGAAGGCCGCGCGCGGGCTAGGGCTGGGCGAGCGCTGGGGCAGCGAGTGGCTGTGGCCCGTTGGCGCCCGGAACCTCCATCGAAGTGGAATGGGTGGCTGACGTGGGAACCGGGATGTCACTGTTTGGGGCGAATAGGGTTAGCTAGTCCGGTCTTGCTCGGCCCGGTCCCCGCGGGACGGCCGGAGGACCTTCGGAGATGCCTTTGTGTGGCCTTCGCTGGAGGAAGGGAACGAGAGAAAGCCCGTGGGGCGTTTCCTCCGGTGGCTTCACGGGGCGGCTTTCAGTGGCCTTTGTAAGGGGCTCGCCATCCTGTGTTTGGCGGCCTCTGGCCCTGGAGGTCAGTTTTGCTCCCACGCCTTTCAGGGCACGGACTGTAACCGAACACCGCGGAGCTCAGAGCGCTGAGTTTCTCCGTCAGCCGCTCTGCCAAATATTTGCTTCTAAAATATACGCCTTCGATCGAGACCGATATTATAGCCGAGAAGGCCTCTTCATAGCTGCTTTTTCCCATGAAACAAAACAAAGGGGTTTTCCTTACATATCGGGTTACAATTATACTAAAATAATCTGCCTCAGATGAAAGCCACTGCTGCTTATGCCCGTTATAAGCTGCTCGCATATCCTTCTACAAATGTACATTGCATAGGCTGACCGATAGCCCGAAAGAAGAGCATTTCAATAAACGGTGGAGTTAAGGCATGTTTTTTTCTCTCCTGTTAGAATAACCTTATGGCGATTTAATCTATTTTTTGCGTGTGAAATCTTTTTATGTACTTCCTGTACAAAATGATTTAGTGGCTTTTAACATAATTCCAGATGACAAAGGGGATACTATATAAGATTTCTTAAATTCAATGTTAGGGAATAATAGATTTGTTTGGGTTTTGTGGTTTCATTATGTTCTGTGTTTGTTTATATATTATACCATTGAATATAAAAGCTTACAGAGGCCATGCTTTGTGTCCCAGTCTAGAATTTGCAGAAAGGAAATGGATTGTATTACTATATTCTTTTTTTAAAAAGCTAATTAAATTAACTACTGTTTATATGCAACTATACTTAAAATGTACTTAAAATAGAGAAAGGAAGGTAATATTCCAAATGTAAGGCTAAAGTACAATAGTTTTCGATTGGCTATCTCTGAGGTTTGATAAATGTGCATCATTTTTCTGCTGAAAACAAAAAGGGTAGAATTTAGTAGTAACAGAATAACAGTTGGAAAGGATCTTGAAAGTCTTCTAATCCAACCCTGTGGTCAAGCAGAAACCCTATGCCATTTCAGACAAATGGCTGTCCAATCTTTTCATAAAAAACCTCAATGTTGCAGCACCCATAATTTCTGGAGGGAAATTGTTCCACTCATTAATACAAAATATCACAATCATATAGCCTGCTTGTCTCATCGTTGGCCTCACAACTGAATTTAGAAGGAAGTCAGACTCATTCTGATTTCAACTGTGTCTTATACAAATACATTTGATGAAAAACAATTTGAATTTCTTGACTAAGTTAACACTGGCAATGTCCTGCAAAATTAATCAGAAGATGTAAATATTTGAATGTTGGTTACCTGAACCATTGTAGTCCCACTCCTGCTAGTTTCAATCTACATCATGCTTGGATCTGTTGGAGGTACTTCCACTACTTCAGTCTTCGCCAATCCTAATTCCCTGCAGATAATCACCTAATTTATAGCCATCATATCTTCACCTATGATGGTTGGGAAAGGCAGGTCAATATACTTAGAACCGTTGAGTACAAAATTGAACTATCAGATGTTTGTTGTTGACAATTATGAATTCCTATCCAAGAGGTTTTTACTTAAAATGAGTAAAAACCCTGTGCATTCTTGAATTCCTAAGAGGATAACCAAGGTATAAATTGAGTAATAAATGCAGTAATACCTATACTATTTTATTATGTTGCAGGTGGACCCACTTCGTTATTTTAGGGTTTCCACTTGCACTAAATACACATTGACAATGTTCTATGTTTTCTTTTAGGTTTCTGATTGAAATTTGGATAAAGAATTGATACAGAAAACTATGGAGCAGTACACTACAAACAGCAGTAGCTCAACAGAACAGATAGTTGTGCAGGCTGGACAAATACAGCAACAGGTATGACAGTTATTTGTAATTCATATTTCAGTATGTTGGTTCGTAACAGTTTTAAGTGCCCAGAAGAATATGTACTTCCATACTCATTGTTAGAACTGTGCAAAATATTGGGTTACCCTTTTTGCTCCAAAAGAAGCATCACTTCTTTGAGTGTAAAAGCAATCATGCCCCTCCCCAGTGTTTTTGCCCATGTATGTGCACAGAGGGTACTTCTGCCAGAATTTCTGCCAAAATGAATTGTACTTCCATATGGTTTGCATAGACCTACAAGGGCACATTTAATCTATACATTAAAACAGAATTGTAAAAAGTAAATGATATGTCTGTTTCTTGGCCAGCTCTAACACTAATGTAACAATTTGTTTGTATGTGATGTCTGCATAAGATAATTTAATACTTAACTATAGTACTACGTATAAAGTTAGAGATCTCTTGGATTAATATAAATTAGGTTATGCTTATACTGAGGTTGTTAGTGGGTTTTTTTGTTATCTTGTCTATGTTTCTTAAATTTCAATGCTTTTTTTCTGAGAGAGATTACAGTGCAAGGCTAACACTGATTTAGGCACAATACAATATAAGTGTTCAGATTTCTTCCTTTCAGAAGCCACAAGTCAGCCATCTGTTTCTTTTCTGTCCTTATTTAGAACTTCCAAACTTTGCACTGAGAAAGGGAGTAATTTGCTTCTTTTTGACCACAAAGTAATATGCAGATTAAACACTGGTAGGCTACCACATTAGAGTTGGACTTGCTCATTCCTCCTTGTAGAGCCGGTTGTCTCTTCTGGCAGTTTTTTTTTTAATCTTGTCTTGAGCATTTCCTTCTGCCAAGTTTCAAGCTCTTCCTGTTCCTGTTCCCAGCAGCAGGGTGGTGTGACTGCTGTCCAGTTGCAGACTGAGGCTCAGGTGGCATCTGCCTCAGGCCAGCAAGTTCAAACCCTCCAGGTAGTGGTGATCTATCTGTTGTTTTTGTGTGAGCGCTGCATGAATCACACTATCACTGCATGTTCAATGCTGTGTTTGCACTGGGGCTCGAAATGGAAACAGAAAAATAATGGCAGTTTTAATTACAAGTAACATCTCATGTCCCTAAATAGGATGGAATAAGCTTCTCAACCAATTCTCATGCTGGCTTTGAATCAAAAGATTCAATGTATGAACTATATGTATATGTATGGGTAATAGTTCATTCTAACCGTAGCAGATAACAGTCAAATTAACTTTTAAAATGTTGAAATGGATCCAGTTAAAATGCATGTTGCAAACTGACTTATCTGAAACTTATATTACTACAGATTTTAAAAATATGAATGATATGCTGGATGGGGGGAGGACTGTGGGTTTGCCACTCTTTAAAAAGTCTTTTTAATAAAGAACACTTAAATTATATATTTTAGGGGTTGTTTTCCCTTTTACTAGTGAGATTTGCAAAAAAAAAGAATTTTTGTTTGAGATATGTAGTCAATGGATTATGTTTACGACAAAAATCAATAATATGTGTTAGCTTAAAATATTAAAATACCAGAGAAGAAAGATTTTAAATCCTGATTTGTGTTCTTGTGAAATGGTAAATGGCATGTAAAGACTCTTATCATCTGTTAAATAAGACAAGACTACTATTACTTTCTGTTTCCTCTACTCTTTTAAGGATTAGTGTTATAAAGCACATTAACATCCATCTTTGATGTCATCAAAGGTATCTTTTTTCTGGTTTAGATTTTTTTTCTGGTTTTTTGTTTGTTTGTTTTACTTTTCAAAATATTCAGTATTTTATTTAAGAAACAATAAAATAAAGTTAATAAAAGTTTATTTGCATCGTATTGACCCACCCTGAATTTTACACTATATTCCTTTTTAGCTCTTCTATTTCTTATTTTGTTAGCCTTTTCCAGCCTAGAATTATCCATATGTGTTCAATTTCAAATCCATAATTTGGTAATTATGAAAATTAAAATCCAGTGTTTTGAAAGAGTTTTTATTTAGTTTAGTTTAGTTTTAGTTTTATTATTATT